TACAGGCATAAGCCACTGCACCCGGCCTTTCCCCTCAAGGTTTTTATAAGCTACTTAGAATAGGATATGAAAGGCTAGTTTGTCATAGCTGCAAAATGCATTGAGATAGACAATTAAAATGATTAATGCAAAAATAAAATTCAAAAATTTCTATGGGTTTGAACAATGGACTGAAATAAGATGAAATTTTACACAGGAGCTGTAAAGCTTTCCTTTTTAGATTAAAGATCAATAGTCTCTGACACTAAGTAACGAACAGAGAATGTACTCTGGAGCAGTCGTTCTTGAATGCAGCCTGATCGAATCTTATTTCTTAGCACCTTTCAATGTACTTCTTTGTCTGAGTACTGGTGCTATAGATGATGAAAAGCATCACCAGGTCAAACACCTATTGTCAATAAATACTCAATAATAGAAAAACAGTTAACAAATCAGTACATTTGCTACAATGAAACAGCAGTTTTTCCCATTAAAACACAGAATGGATGATGCTCATTTGTTCCACACACTCCCCTGGGAGTATCTACACTTTTCACAAAACCCAGAAATAATTTTCAGAGAAATAAAGTGCCACAATTATTAACCACTGGTATCTCTTAATACATTGCAATATACATTAAAGTGATTCTACTACAGAAGTAACTTTGAGGCCGGGCGCAGTGGCTCAAGTCTGTAATCCCAGCACTTTGGGAGGCCGAGACGGGCGGATCAACTGAGGTCAGGAGATGAGACCATCCTGGTTAATATGGTGAAACCCGTCTCTACTAAAAAGTACAAAAATACTTAGCCGGTTGCAAGGTGGGGGCGCCTGTAAGTCCCAGCTACTTGGGAGGCTGAGGCAGGAGAATGGCGTGAACCCGGGAGGCGGAGCTTGTAGTGGAGCTGAGATCTGGCCACTGCACTCCAGCCGGGCCAGACGAAACTCCGTCTCAAAAAAAAAAAAAAAAAAAAAAAAAAAAAAAGAAGTAACTTTGAATATCTTGACATTTATTAAAGGAAAGATTCAATCACTTGCCAACTCCAGTATTTTCACTATTACTAGGAAAATTACTTTGTGAAAAGTTGGAAAGACTATAAATGCCCACCAATACAGGAAAGGTCCAATAAATTATGACAGAGTAATTTTAATTTTTGGAATATTACAGTCATCGAAAGAATAAGCCAGGCTGGTTTATTCTGGTGGCTCACGCCTGTAATCCCAGCACTTTGGGAGGCCAAGGTGCGCCTATCATGTGAGGTCAGGAGTTCGAGACCAGCCTGGCCAACATGGTGAAACCCCATTTCTACTAAAAATAGAAAAGAAAACTGGCCAGTCGTGGTGGCAAGTGCCTATAATTCCAGCTACTCAGGAGGCTGAGGCAGGTGAATCACTTGAACCCAGGAGGCAGAGGTTGCAGTAAGCCTAGATCGTGCCACTGCACTCCAGCCTGGGTGACACAGCGAGATTCTGTCTAAAAAAAATTTTTTTTATTAAAATATTTTTTAAAAAGAATATGCTAGGCCAGGGGTCCCTAACCCCTGGATCATGGGGTCCGTGGTCTGCTAGGAACCAAGCTGCACAGCAGGAGGTGAGGGGCAGTCAAGTGGGCATTACCACCTGAGACCTGTCTCCCGTCAGATTAGCGGCTGCATTAGATCCTCATGGGAGTGTGAACCCTATTGTGAACTGCACGTACACAAGATCTAGGCTGCACATTCCTTATGAGAATCTACGTAGTGCCTATTAAGGCTGAACCGTTTCATCCCGAAATCATACCCCGACACTGTCTGTGGAAAAACTGTCTTCCATGAAACCAGTCCCTGGTGCCAAAAAGGTTAGGGACTGCTAAACCATATTATATTTTTTGACACAGGAAAGACATTCCTGATATGAAGTGGAAAAAACAGCAACCTGCAAAAGGATAATCAGGCTGGGCATGGTGGTTCATGCCTATAATCCCACTGCTTTGGGAGGCTGAGGAGGGAGGCTCACTTGAGCTCAGGAGGTGGAGGCAACAGTGAGCTATGATTATGCCACTGGTACTCCAGTGTGGTGACAGAGTGAAACCCTGTCTCTTTAAACAACAACAATAACCCATAACCACAGTTAAGATTCTGCTTTTGTAAAAACATTATGTAAACATGCATATGTGTAGGCATAAGAGCATACCAGTACTTGCACACAATTACAGCTTGTATATGAAAAGAAAAAATTTGGAAGGATGACTATCCCTGAGGAATGGGACAGAGTGGAGAAAAACTGTATTTTTTACATACGTAGTCCAGTATTTTCACTATTACTAGGAAAATTACTTTGTGAAAAGTTGGAAAGACTATAAATGCCCACCAATACAGGAAAGGTCCAATAAATTATGACAGAGTAATTTTAATTTTTGGAATATTACAGTCATCGAAAGAATAAGCCAGGCTGGTTTATTCTGGTGGCTCACGCCTGTAATCCCAGCACTTTGGGAGGCCAAGGTGCGCCTATCATCTGAGGTCAGGAGTTTGAGACCAGCCTGGCCAACATGGTGAAACCCCGTCTCTACTAAAAAGTATAAAAGATTAGCCAGGCGTGGTGGCGGGCACTTATAATCCCAGCTACTAGGGAGGCTGAGGCAGGATAATTGCTTCAACCCAGGGGGCAGATGTTGCAGTGAACAGAGATTGTTGCACTTCACTCCAGCCTGGGCGAAAGAGTGAAACTCTATCTCAAAATAACTAACTAACAGAATTAGCCAGGCCTGGTGGTGCTTGCCTGTAGTCCCAGCTACTCCGAAAATTGAGGTGGGAGGATCGCTTGCACCCAGGAGTTTGAGGCTGCAATGAGCTATGATGCTGTCACTGCACTCCAGCTTGGGTGATAGAGCAAGACCTGGTCTCTTAAAAAAAAGAGAGAGAGAGA